AAAACCGTTCAGCGAAAACGAAACATGGTTTTGTGGTCCATACATGCGTCCCTACAACATGTACTAAACCGTTTCCAAAAAGCGCACCTTGCCCTGAAAGACCTCCCTTGTAAGATCAGGAACGACAAAAGGATTCAGGAAACGTAGTGCGAGAGAACGGGGCGGAACGAGAGCAGGTGAGTACGAGGGATAAGGTATCCACAGCGCGAATGGACCTACTACACCCCAGACCGGCAACCTATATGTTATTTCTAGGGCAATTGTGCTACAAAGAAATTGTATCGCGTCTCTACGAAGCCCAATCTTCTCAATCCATTCGGCCAACACCTTACCAATCAGGAGGGCACGACATTTGTAGTCGATGATCTAAGTCACCCACGGAATAGATTCCTCGACACCAGATGAGCTCGTGTCGAAGAATCTATTCTGTGGGTTACATAGAGTAGTCCAGAGTACCACAGATGTAACCTCCCCTTCAAAAAGCGAGAAAGTGTCGGGTGCAGACCAAACACCACAACTGACGACGGCCTCCAAGTAAATCTGGTTAGAAGTTGTTCATAGTGATAGCTGATTTCTGGTAAATGATAGTTGTAATTAGTGACAATCGATAGAATACAACTGCAACAGGCTAATCATTTCATTGGCAGAAAACATTAACATTTTGTGAAGGCCGTCGTCACTTGTGGTGCATGGTCTGCACCCGACACTTTCTCGCTTTTTGAAGGGGAGGGTACGTTAGCGATGTCGAAAGTGTCGACTTATGGCGCAGAATTACGAAGTACATTCGGTTATAAATAATTGCATCCTCAGGATCTTGAATAATATAAGGTCGACCAATTAATGATAGTGAGCACTAAGCGGATGACATAGAGTATCTTTAAAAAAAGCCACCAGTGCCCAAACTAGGTACCATAGGAGTCACGGCCCAGCCCTGTTGTGCCAAGATCAAAATACTCCGAACCTTCTCGCCCTCCAGAATACGAGCCTCTGCTTTCGATGCTGTCGATTCGAATCCGTCACCAGTTGACACACCTAAACTGTGTTCCCCAAATTCCTCCAAAATTGGCATCGAACAGGGCAGGGGGACCGTGCGGAATGCGGCAAATAATAATTGTTGAAGGGCGGAATCCTCACTCGCACGTTCATTTGCATATTTCCTTAACCCAGCATGGCTTCGTCCCTCAAAAATGTCAAAGCGATCACGATCCAGAAATCCCAAATGTGACTTCCTGTTAAACTTGGTACATCAGACGGCTGATCCTGCTAATAAGCCGTACCGCTTAGGCAAACTAGGACCAGTAAGCTCCAGTGGTTGAATGGTACAGTTATAGCCTTCCTCTCTAGTCCTTGTTCGTTGTGTTGGTGAATAGTTCGAGAAACATTTGCCATGAAGAACGTGTAGTGACTCACAATTACACAACAACAACATCACAGACGGCTTACAGCAAAAGAAACTACAGGCGAAAGTACGTACATGATGCCTGGGAAGAACTATAGGTGGCGCTTCCTCACACAAGAAATATATCTCTCCTAAACAGTTTCACCCATTTGGGAACAGCTGCGCCACGCTTGCGACGGAAAAATGTAAAAACTCCCAAAATGTGATCATGCACAATTCAACACAAAGGTCAGCGCAGAGTTTTTGCTGATCNCTACCTTTCGGNGNNCTNNCCAGTGTCGAATTTTTGTAATGCTACTTATGGATCATGGGGCGGAAAATGTGAAGCGGCAAGTGGCGTTTACCACGCGACCGGGGGATCGAATCCTGGGTCGTCCGTTGCCTAGACCAACCAATCCTTTCATATCTCAGCGTCCTGATGGTACCAGACGTCTGGGTGGATAAAAACACTGACTTGTACAGCGGTCGGCCCCCTGCAAGTCATTGTATAGGCCAAATCGCATTCCAAACGCCACTACGAATGTACAAATGGAAGTAGAATGCGTGCCGCATCCCAAAAAGGGATTGATCAACGGCGAATGCTGCAATTCTTTGTGAACTTTTTATTAGAATTATGGGAACGACGGTTTTCTGAGGCTTCGAGACGGTGTAACGCTGTAGATAACTCTGCTGAGTTCACAGGAAAGACAGGCAAGTGCAGAATAGTGAAAAGATTTCCCATGGCCATAATTGACTTATTTCCGTGAAAACCAGGACCGCGTTGGATGTGCATTCGAGTGCTGATTGTACCGGGTCAAATACCGGGACAAATTTTGCACAGGCTCGGCACGCAGGCCAGCCAGCCATGAACTCCCAAATCTCCATCATTTTTTTAGCGCTTACCCCGCCACGTGACAGAGCCCGCCTTTTAATATTTAGATTGACGCAACGTTCCGGAATGCTTGGCCGAAAGGATGCCAACTAAGTTCAATCCACATCAGCGTTATCAAGCCAGCGCTGCTTTGAGCATTAAGCCGCTTACGGACACGTCTACGTTCAGGTCGGGCCCTACGAACATGTCATACTTTACGAACACAGCCATACCCAGCCACTTGCGAAACCTCCTAAATGACTGAGAAGTTTGAAAACGATGGGCTTATCACGGTCGATGGTTGGGGATTCCACCTCTCGAGTCTTCAACTAATTCATCCCCCGATTTGATGTGCAGATCTCTTGGACCACATAAACTAAAACGTACTAATTTTGTCAATAAACATTGCTGCCCTCTTTCACGCGAAAAGTCCAAATGCGGTGAGGTAAAGCGAAGCCTTCAACGCCCCTAAGCGAACCTTCTGCAAGCCGGGCTGAAAACCGAGATGTGAGAGCTTTGCTCAAACCTTTAGAAGCGATGTATAAAGACAGTTAAGTAGGTTTCACTTTCCCCCAGGCTGCTCTAAGCCGAGAATTCAAAATAATGTTATCACGAGAATGCTGACTTATAAGCAGAACTCTACGCCTGTGCAGTATTAGCAGCCTCCAGCTTGCCGGACAAGTTACCCATACCTCTACCAAATATCAAAAACCAGCGAAATCAGAGGGAAGTGTCATTTCGATTTTGATTCTTTATGTAGAAGCCATCATATCAGTGGAAGTTTGAAATTCTTACAGAGCAAATAATTTTCCCAAGCCATAGGGTCAAAATATCAGAGACAAATAGAAAAATTTAAAAAAAATTAAAATTTTCAGATGAAAATTTCAGAAGTGAGAAATCCATCAATCACTCATGCTTCTTTTTCAAAGCAGTTCAACCTTTCAAGGGAGATTGGCCTTCTCCGTGCTCCATGCACGTGCAGAGAAGAAAAACTGTTTCGAAAAAGCGCTCCGCGGCCACAACGACCTTCCGATTGGTGAAATCCCTTCCTTCAACTTGTATGCACAATTTATAAGGAGGAAGACTAAACCACTGAAACGCTCCACGACCACCTAGATGTGTAATTGCTTCCGAAATTGCGCGGTAAATGTGCAATTTAATCTGCCAGAAGAAAAAAAGAAACGGAACCAGATATACGAGGAAATAAAGTACTGCTGTTTGTCTCAGAGGCAGGCGAGTCTACGCGGAAGAGACACAGAAGTAGATGCGAAAAATAGACATTTATGGAACGAGAGAGACCGCAGACATCCTACCCATCCGTGAACCGCACTGCATTGCAATGAAACAGCAAACATCTTCAAGTACAAGGCTTTAACGCTCTCATCAGCAGACTATTATTGTCCTTCTCGGTGGAATGTGATCTCAAAGATTACGGTATCAAGGCGTTTCTTTAGAGTGATTATTCAGGAAAGAATAAGGTCGCTGCGGCAGCCTCGTGAAGGAAGGAGAGTAACAGGAGGTGTTCAGACCGACACTTAAGGCGTATGGGGGGACTTCCATAGGCATGTAAATCAAATTTTTGAACGGTTTCCATAGGCGTTATAATGGTCTGGCGTGAAAAACCATTTCAGCGGAGTCGCCGTATGAAATTCAACTCGGTGATAACTTTTCGAAGGAAGAAGATAAAATGGTTTTTTATGTCGTCTCAATTTTAGTCCCTTTGCTGAGGCACCGACATCGATCCCACTACTCCAAGGCTGCCTGCCATTTTTGCTATCCTTCGTATGTGCTGTGAAATTACCTAATGAATCAATAAAAATTAACTATTTGCTAAACCCATCCGTGCCTTTTCACACTTTTTCCTTTTCATTTCTCTTTTCACTTTGCCATTTCAAAGGTTAGCAATTAACTATTGACTATAACTAGTAATAATTAACTATTAACTATAATTATTAACCATAATTATTAAGTAATTGTGCCCTCAAAAATTCCCTTACGTTTTGTTGGATGGTCTTTAATTTTCCGCATTCAATTTTCGGCATGTTATCGGCTTCCTTCGAAGCATGTGAAGAATTCAAGCAACGATAATCAGGAATCCAAAATAGGACGCGTCAGCTTAATTGATAACCGTGCCCGAGAAACAGCTGATAGCAACACAGCGGAGTCCAGAGTGGAATCCATGGAAATCTAGCATAAGAAGGAGAAAGAATAGCAGATGTGGAACTTCAAAAGTTGGAAAGAAAACCTCAAGGCATCTTCTCAAAAAAGAAACGGCGCTACCACAAAATACGGGGGCATCACGGTGAAAGTGCATCCAGAACCACGTAAAACATCTCCTTTTTGTTAACATCGAGCTAACCGCTGTCCTAAGCCTAGTCCATAAGAATGCCCATTTTTGCAAAGCGCCAAAAGAATTACTTCCGGCAGAAAACTTAATGAAAAGGATGCGTCAAAGTTTACCATCTTGAGTTGTCCAAGGAAGTTTATCATCAGTACCCATCCCAGTGAGCCTAGCAGGGCTCTTATGGAAAGAAGAAGTCAGAGAGGAGCATGAAATTCAGCGCAATATGGCTCGGGGGAGGCACTCTGTGGAAAAGGAAGCTAGGATTAAGCCTAGGCTGCAGGACCGGAGTCTCTCACCTGTACAAAGCCTTGGTCCTAAAATTGTGCGCTTCCCTAACCCTGGCGCGATTTTACTTGCTGCCCCCCCCCCGAGCTACATTGCGCCTGAAATACTTTATAAAGGGTTACCTGATCACTGCTCACTCGCTTCTCTTGCATACGGTAGGTGCGCTCCTCGTACATTGATTGTACCATATCTGGAATATTACCGGTTTAGAACCGAAAATCACGTTTTAAAGGGGAAATGACGGCAATAACATTGTGAACACCAAAATGTTAAGCGGAAAAGTCTCGGGGCGGCGCTGAATCGTTCGGCACCGATCGATCGTGTGAAGATGCCGTGTGGGACGATCAGAAGACGTCGCGCCGATCGCTGTCCCCGTGGCAATAGCGCGCTTGGAAGTGATAGCACCGCTATGACCGTGAACCAACCCGATGACGCATCGCATCGTGTTTGCCAGACGGGACAAGCTTTAACTGTGACAAACGGTCCGCACCAGCCACAATGTTGATGTCTAGTTCGGGTACATCCTGACCTGTGCCGGATACCGGACCTGCGCTAGCGGCTCATAGAAGGAAAAACTGATCACTTGGGCGGAAGCGGCGCTTGTGCGGAGGACGAGGAGGGCGAGTGGACTATGCATGTGCTCTTAATTCGAGTACCAACGGAGTTTAGGCTGTAGAAAAGGATATTGCTCGTGTCAGTCAGATTGCGCGTTTGGGTGTGCACATTTAGATTGGAGCGGTCTGGTTATTGGCAGGATGCCAAAAAGTTCTCTATCACTACAATTTTATTTCAGCTTGTAGGCCGCCAACAGTAAGTAACACTCTTTTGTTGTTGGATCAAGGTTGAAAGGCAAAACAGTCGGCGTTGATCAAACTTTTTCGGATGCGCCACGTACTTTACTTCCACTCTGAGCCGTAGTAGCACTTGAATATGATTCAGCCCATAGAAGGACGTGGTGGAACCAACCAGTTCAGTGTTCAATTTAATTTTATTCAATTTATGCTTCATACCGCCTCGCTGTTTTGATTCGTAACTCTGTTTTTGTACATTCAATTTTGTAGTGCACCTGTGCGTGCATGATAAATAAATAAAAAGCAAACAACAAACAACAAAGCAAAAACAAAACAAGAAGAATCCATGGCGTATCTAAGCATTACATTGCCTGCGCTCCTCCTGTCATCCTTTTTTGCGGATTTGAATGGACGCCTTCTGTCTCATCTTCTGACTCACGCGGTCGTAGCCATCACATTGCTTCTACTTCTTTGTTCCGCTATCTTTTCACAATCCTCCGCTACATCTCATTTTTACCTATTTTTTCCTCTCCGCTATAGACAGTTCTCCTATTGCTCCGCCTCTGATCACTCTTACTGTCTTCTACCAACGCTTGCTAAATCCTTACTTCACTCAACAACATTGGTGGTAGCAATGGCAATGCCACAGCAGTGCCTTACCCGCGCTGTTTCCTTTGAATTTATTCCTAATTTCCTATTACATTCCCAATCAGCGACTCCCTTGTGACATTCGTAGCATTCCTCCATCATATTTTGATCTACTCCTTTAGTTGTTTTTCTTCAAATGAGCTTCTTCTTCTATTCCCTGGTTCTCAGACGTTTTCCAAATAATTCTTTCCTTTCTCCTTCTACACTTCCACTTCCATTTTCCATAGTTTCGTCCCTTACTTAAGATCGCCTTCATGTAACTGGTGAGCCTTTTTATTCGATTCGAGTTTCTTGGTAGTTTTCATTCAAGTTTAACTTTGCAAACACCTCCATATCGGAATTTTTGATAGACTCTTGGAGTCTTACACTGTTATAGTAGAGGCGGTCTAAAATGGAGGTTCGGGGCAGCACAACCCCAACATGAAATCTTTGTCACCCGCCGAATAGCTGCCTTTTACGGATTGAATTTCGGGCAGCTTCTCCTTGGTTGAAGGGGTTTTCTGCTCATTTGTTTCTTGCACATCTCTAGCGATGGTATGGAACGGTTAAAGCATGTCAGTCTTCCTATCCCATAACAGACGGCGTGCACCACATGGTGGCGCACGATTATTTCTTTTGTTTTTGTTACGTTTCTAACAATCTTAATATACCCGTATATACTCTCAGCAATGTGGAATAACATATCTTCCCAGGACCTGGACGAGTGGATTTTTGACAAACCTACAATAAATTTTACATACACTTTGTCTTTTTCATAAGCTTACTATTTGATGGATGGCTTACCCATGGTTCACACGTCCCGAGACCCCTTCCCCTAAATATAGCCACATCCTTGCTCGGGGTTGTTGTTTCCGCATTTTTCCATAATTTCACCTGCAGCTTCCATTCATTCTTTGCACCCTAGTTTTAAGCGGAAAGGCGGGTTACGAAAGTTGTCGTCAACGGAAATCTCTTCTTTTGGATGATGAGACAAGGACACCTACTTTAGCCCCGTCTTAACCCTGCTGTTCGCATAAGCCTACATAAACCCTACCCTGTGTGGCGGCGTGCGCCACATGTGGCGCACGCAACAAATACACTGGCCGTCCGTTATGGGTAGAGCATGCAGTACTGGCCCGGCAGGCACTATCGGAATGCTTTAATGGTGCTTCATTGATATCAACACAACAACGCAAAGATTCCACGAAAGACAATGAGGGATGCACACCGTCAGGTCCGCCTTTGCCAACACACAATTTGGCCATATTATGTCGTCCATCGAAAGATTACTTAGGCCGGTGGCGCGACTTTAATCGCTGGATTCACAAAGTCTGACACTGGCCCTAAGCGGCAAGTGGTCGTACTGAAAGTTCCGCGTCTGGTCGCGAGCAGCGGCAAAATGAGTGTGCGAGCAACAAAAAAGTAATGGCGGCGGAGCTCAGATTACGTAGCGCAAATGAAAGCAAGTGGGACAGAAATAGAGCAAATTAAACAGACGAAGCTGAAAGAAGGCCGCTTCTGAGCGCTCCTCTTGCACCCTAGTTTTGTCGCAACACCCTTGGTTCGGTACAAGGGCGATATGTTTACAATTGGCCAATTTTTACATTTTAATGAATGGTCCGTCTATCAGAATCTGTTAGTACCTTGAATGACAACAGAAAGGGAAAAGCTGACAGCAGCCGCTTGGCATCGCTCCCACCGGCTATTAGGAAGGAACACCTTTTTTCTTTTCACCTGCTTCGGAATAAGAGGCACTTTCTGTTTGCAAAATTTTGCCTAACATTATCAGCATCATATAGGGATGGGGTGTTAGAGAGCGAGAACCGCTTTCATGCGTGATTGGGGCGAGGGCTTTGCGCTCAAATCTAGCCAGCTGCAGCCAAAACCATTGCTTCAGGTCAAAATTTACCAGATTTGTAGGCGTTTCACAATTAGCAATTAATTTACTATCGTTCACACGGGTCCCTTGAACATGCCCAAAAGACAAAGTTTGAAAAATGGGGGCCCTTCTTGAAAGACCTCCATAGTAAGGTGCACCTGGTTACGCAGAGCATTGTTGGAAGAGTGCTCAAATGAGGTTGAAAGGCATCGCCTTGGAAGTTCAGCCCAACATTTTCCGGACACTCACACTTGACCGTATTAATAGGTTCGTCTCCATATATACGCTAGAATTGAATGTAGGCCTCAACACGACTCATACACGCTCTTTCAGAGAGGTCTTTGAAATTGAAGGATGCCAGGATAAGGCCGGATGTCAGTATTATACAAAATGAAAGGAGGTGCCCCTAAGGTGCGATACGAATGCCGTTTGGAGCGAAGAGTGGTCAAACTGCCTGCAGGGCCAACTTCGTGGCCGCCGGCGCCATTGCCCGCTCGTCCTGCCGTCTGACTCTGACCGTGTGCGGCAACAAAGATGTTAGCGTTGATTTAGTAGCAGCACTTGCGAGAATCGCATCAATAGCGGATCTGCACCTTGGGGAAAAAGCAGGTTCTCGAGCATTGGGCCGTTTTTCACATGGATTTTGCTTCTCCAATGCACCACTGGTCACTTTGTTTTTCCATGGCGCCTTTTTATCGAAAAAAACTCCTTTAAAATGTATGAGAACAATTCTAAAACACCTGCAGTATAATGAATGGGCTTCTTTTGATTGATTTGGTTAATTCATGGCAATATTGAAGGGAGCGGGTAATCATAATTGGCTCGTGTTTAGGAGAAATATGAGCTGTTACTATACTGCTTAGGCAGTCGATGTTAAAAGGTTTCGTGGCGAAAATTCTGCTTCTAGGTTGGTAAATGTGACAATCGCCTTCGACCACTGTTTCCGCCCCTAAATGGACGAGTTTTAGCAGCAGTATGAGAGTACCGTACCACCTTCACTACTCCCATCCGACTTTAGAAATGTATAATTTTGAGTGCTCCTAACTTCTTTAGTCACCGTCTAATGCTTATCTGTCGCAGCATTGATTTGGATGGAGAGTGTTGCCAGCTACATAGGGTGAAATGTCAATTGACTATTACCATAGCTGACACATTGCATCACACTAGCAGTGTCCGCTAAGGACCCATCTCGTGGGTTTCTGAGTGCTCCTTTTCGGTTTTTAATTTCGCACTAGCAGTCAGCACCTCTAACTTCATTTCCGATCAATGTTCATATCAGCGTACACTCTTCCTCTAACGGGGAACTTACAGACAAAAATGGCCCAATCAATGATAATCGCCAAGTTGAGCGATAACCTTCATGAAAACCTTAGGTGGAACTTCCGCTGAATTATTCACACACCATGAATTCAATGCGTTTCCTTCTTTCACCAAGGACAATGCTGAACTCGGAACTTCTCGTCAATCGATCCCAAATAATAAAAAACCATAACATGCAGAATTGATTAGTACCACAGAGCAACTATGAAAATTTCATTTTTCTCACTGTTTACATTTCTGACACTATCAAGTACAGATCAACTTGAAAGAAGATATGAGGAAAGAGTCACAAACTCCTTTCATGTGGAGCTTAGTTAAAAATCATCTACAATTTCGGGCTAATCAGTAATTTCACCACAGTTACTGTACAGCACATCACGGACAGAGTTTGGCTATCACCACCGTCGACTCATGAGAAACACCTTCTGGAGTTCAAATGATCCGACGCGTAAATATGTATATAAAAATTAAAATTAATTGAAAATTAACGTAAAATAGGCTAAAACACGTGGTGGAGTACTCCACACTCTACGATAAGATGGTAAAACTCCTAAAGCGC